CTGAGCTGGTAACAGAAAGAAGGGAAAAAGAAGCAGAAACAGCATTTGGGGCTGGGGCAGCAGGAGCCACCCTGGCAGCCAATCAAAGAGCTAGTGGTGCTGTAGTGGCAGAGCTGCAGCAGTGATAGTGACCACAGAGATAGTGATAAAAGGCAATGGCAGAGCCCATACAGAGCCACTGCCCAGCAGTAGCAGTGACAGTGGCCAGGATAAAAACAAGAGGGAACCGAGGTGGCAGAGATAGTGATGGATGGCACAAGTAAAGAGAAAGTGTGAGAAAGCAGAGAGCTGAGGCTGAACAAAGTCAGCTCCAGAAGCTGGTGGCTCATGCCTATAACCCTAGCTACTCAGGAGGCAGAGATCAGGAGGATCACAGTTTGAAGCTAGCCACAGGCAAATAGTTCAAGAGACCCTATCTTGAGGCCCTGAGTTCAAACCCCAGTACTGCCAAAGGAAAAAAAAAATTTAGAATACTGTGAAGACCTAGAAAGAAGAAACTGTGGACCCTGGTGTAGGAAGAGAGCTGTAATACTTTCTTACAGGGTCTGGCCCTCCAAGGTGTGGGAGCTGTAATACTTGTGGGAGGTCTAAGGGTCCCAACACCTGAGTCCATATAAGAGGACACCACCTGCTGCCACCTGCTGTCACCTCACTGCTCATGCTGATGATTATAAAGACCTGTCAAGGCCTTGGAATAACTGGACTAACTACCCACAATGCCTGAGTAGAGTAGGACCCCAGCTTATTGGTAATATTTTGTGTGGTTAGTGACTGATCAAGATGTAGTTTGGGAAAACATGAACAAGCTTCAAATGAAAGGAAAATAGAGTAAATGGAGGATTTGGAGGGGAAGAAGACAATAATCATAATATAGATAGACAGTAATGCCCACCTTGTACACGGCAGAATTCTGAGCAGAATGAGTGCATTTCTGTGTGGTACCTCTGACTGCAGTAAACTTGCCCCATCTAAAACCTGGTCAATTTCCTTAGGCTGCTTTACTTCTGTCTTTGGTTTCTAATAACCTTATGCTCTAGAAAATCTGAGTTGTGATGACCAGTGACTCAAAGCTCTGGAATGAACACATTTTCTCTGAAGTCTTTGGGAGCAAGCTTGACTCCAGAAAATCTAGGTCTTCCATTAAGAGGTACAGACATTCCAGGAAATTGATGGCTGCAAGAATCAAACCTTAAAAAACAGCTGACTGGCCAGCTGTCAAAGTCACTACATTCAGGGACCTCTGCCTCTCACACTATGGATAGAATGTAAATTGGTATAATCTTTAAGGGCAGTTTGGCATTACCTATCAATATTTGAAGCTATTGACCCCATCATTACTCTAAAAATTGTTGTACAGAGACATTACTACAAGTGTAGTTGGATATAATATAAGGGTGTTCACTGCAGCTTGAGGGTAATGAAACACTGCAAACACCTAAAATTCCACAATGGGAGATGGAGTCCATTATGTTGTAGGGCTGCGGGCGTGGCTCAAGTGGTAGAGCACCTGCCTAGCAAATGTGAGGACCTGAGTTCAAGCCCCCCAACCCAAAAAAATTATGATGTAGTCACACAATGGAACACAATGCCACTATAAAGAAAAAAATGTCTGTGTATGGGGTGTACAGTGGTAGAGCAAGTGCTTAGCATGCACAGTCCCTGGGTTCAATCCATAAAACATACACACAAAAAAAGGTGTCTTAGAGAAAACCAAGTTGCAGAGATTATGGATTTTATTTTTTTAAAAACATATGGGCTGGCAGAGTGGCTTAAGTGATAAGAGCAAGTGGTTGCCTAGCAACTGTGAAGCCCGTAGTTCAAACCCAGTACCACCAGAAAAATAAAAAAATCCCCAAATTTTTGCATCTATGGATAGAAAAGCCAGGAAGGAGACCACTTAATTTTTAATAAAGTTTTTAAGTTATTTTTTAATACTTCTAGAGTATCAGAAGAGGAGGGGACTATAATAAGAGTTAAATTCTAAAAAATGGTTATTTTAAAATTTTTTATCATTACTATTTTTTTTTTTTTTTGGCAGTACTGGGGTTTGAACTCAAGGTTTCCTGCTTACAAAGCAGGCATTCTATTACTTGAACCATACCTCCAGTCCACTTTGCTCTGGTTATTTTGGAGATGGGTGTCTCAAGAACTATTTGCCCTTTTTTTGTTGTTGTTTGTTTGTTTATTTTGGGCAATATTGGGTTTTAAATCAGGGCCTTGAACTTGCTAGGCAGGTTCTCTACCACTTAAGCCACAACCCCAGCTCATTTTGCTTTAGGTATTTTTCAAATAGTCTCATGTTTATACCTGGGCTGGGCTGGACTGCCATCCTCCTATTTACACTTCCCCCATAGTTAGGATGACAACATACCACCATGCCCAGCTTTTTATTGGTTGAGATGGAGGTCTCACTAACTTTTTTGCTCAGACTGGCCTCAACTCACAACTCCACTCTCAGACTACTAAGTAGCTAGGATTACAGGTGTGAGCCAATATGCCCAGCTAAGGATACCATTTTATAAAGAGAAAAGACATATGAGAACAGCCAGCTGTTAACCATAGGAAAGATCAACTGCATTCAACCTGAGCTCCTTAGGGGCAGTACATTTTTCACAGGGTCTACATAAATATCCTACTATCTAGCACAGCGTGTGACTACCTCAGAGACCAGTTACTCAGCTAGAATGTGCTAGGTGGAAGAACCCATGCGACGACCACACACACACACACACACACACACACACACACACACACACACACACACACACATACACACACAGTTTTAGTTAGGTGTCTGCAGACCAGTGAGGGTGCATCGTAGTGGATTTTTAACTCATTTTACATAGAAAAGCAATGGTGTGCAACAGAACATTGTGCAGTGACAGAAATGTTCTATATCTGTGTTGTTCAATATATGGTAGCTACTGAACTGGGCAGCTCTGAATGCTGAAAATGTGGCTGGTGCAACAGAACTGCATTTTACATTTCATTTAATTTTAATTAAATTTAACTAGCCACATGTGGCTTCTAGTAGACATAGCAGCTTTAAAGAATAGATTGAAATATGCAGACATTTTCTTCAGAAAAATAGATATATACACAAAGTTTTGCATACAATTTCAAGAGATGGAGGACCTTTTCAAGCCCATCCATGTGTCCCTACATCAATAACTTTTGAAATGGACTAAAATAAGAATAGGATATATTGAAAATGTCCTGATATATAGAACAGAAAAGATGGAAAATTGGCAAATGTTAATGCTCCCTTTCAGAACCTTGGAAGGAACCCTGGTAGGTAGAGGCAGCCTCTACCTCCCTTCATCACACAGAACATGTTAATAATTGTTAACGGGTTTTTCCCATATTGCCCTGTACACCCAGACTGTATTCTCCATGGGCAAGAGTAGGATCATCTATCTTTTTGTTTTATTTGCATTTATTTTGTGTTTAATATGTTCTCATCCTACACATTTTTGTTTTTTCAGGCTTTTTCCCCCTAGGATCTTTTTCTTCTGTGCAACCTCCTCTCTGGTTCAGGAGCAATTTCTTCATTTCAGTAAGGATCATCTCAGTGTGACAGGGAATCCACATATGGGCTAGTGCAGCCATGAGTTCTCCAAGCATGGCAGTGCTGGATGAGAGATTTACCTCATTCACCTCTATATACCGAGCCTAGTATAAACCTAGTACATAGTTGCACTCAAATATCTGCTGAATGAATGAGTTTGAATATCTGATTTTTTCCAGTCCTTGAGCCTAGAGCTCCTGAGTTACAGAGGGTCTCCACGTAAGGGAAGTTAGCTGGTTCATGGGATAGAGATAAGGTTTCTGTGAAGTAGAACAGATAGATATTCAGCTTTTTTTCTTTTTTTTGTGGTACTGGGGTTTGAACTTAGGACTTACATGATTGCTAAGCAGGCTCTCTTACTACTTGAGTCTCTCCTTCAGCCTAAGCAGATACTCAGACCCATGAGAATCCTGCATCACCTGAGCTCTTGTTATGCCTTGCAGTTTAGAATATCTTGTGATATACAAGCCATGCAAAGGCCTCAACAGTCAGTTGACAATGACAATGACTGGGAGTTAATGGCCAAATATTCCTAAAACCATTCTCTTTGGGTGTCTCCTCTGTCTTATCTTTGGAATATACCTTTATTTCTGGAAAGGAGATAATAATATATTTGCTCATGTTGCCTCTCTACCTGGAGTTCTGCCTCTACCTTGGCAAATTCTAACTCACTGTTAAATGCCTCTTTCTCTGAGAAATCTGGGGCAACACTTCCAGACAGAATCGTATTGTATTTCCACCAGTCCCCTTTGTATTCTATACATCTCAACATGTGTGCTCTGCTATGAAGGAGCCAGGCATTCATGTGTGTATTCCAGCATTAAAAAATATTGGCATATAGATGAATCTTGTAAACATTTGCTAAGTCAAACACAGACACAAAAGCTCACATATTATATGATTCCATTTATATGAAATATCCAGAATAGACAAACTCATAAAGACAGATGGTAGATTGTTACCAAGGGCTAGGGAGAAGTGAATAGGGAATGACTGCTTAATAGGCAGCGGTTTCCTTTTTGGGTGAAGAAAATGCTTTGAAACTATATGATGATGATTGTCCAACACTGTGAATATACCAAATGTCTTTAAATTGCACATCTTAAAAGTGGTTAATTTTATGGTATGTGACTTTTACCTCAAATAAAAACAAAAAAGCTGTGTATGGTGGTATATGCTTGCAATTCTAGCATTCAGAAGGTGGTAGCAGGAAGATCAAGAGTTTGAGGCCAGCCTGGGATACATAGGGAGTTCAAGACCAACCTAAGCTACAAAGTAAGACCCTGTCTCAGTAAAACCAAGGGCTGCAGATGTAGCTCAGTGGTAGAATGCTTTTCTAGCACTGCAAGGCCCTGGATTTGATCCCCAGCATCATAAAAATAATAAACATAATAAGAAACAGTAAGAAAAATCAGACACATAGGTGTTAAAAAAAAAGAGATATATTTACAAACCAGAAAATTCCCAAATTCTAGCTGGAGGGAAAAGGAAGGAGGTAGCAAGTATGAGCAGGTCTCCTTAGAGCCCAACCTACTTTTATAGAAACCCTGAGTACTAGCTCCTGGGTCAGCCCCTGGGCCATGGTCCATCCCTGCCCCAACCAAAGAAGCAATCCCTCCACTGGCCACAGTCCTCAGTCTTCTTGCCAGTCTTCCTGGGCCCAGGCAGGCATGGGTGAAACATACTCAAAGTCTGGCCCCTTGTAGCGGAAGGCATGCAGGAACATTATGAGGTCCTGTGGCAAGGGATCCTGTCGCACCAGCCGGCACTCTGCACAGAGTGGGTCTGTCTCTTGATTCATACCATGTGTTTCAGCTGCCATACCAGGTGTGCCCAGATGCTGAGAGGCTGCCTCATGCACTCCATCCATCTTCTGGGGAGCTGTAGCCAACTCTTCCAGGCTATCGTTGGCTGACTCCGAGGAGGGGGCTGTCGAGTCTGTGAGTCCTGTGGACAGGTCACCCTCACAGAGATCTAGCACATCCAAGCTCTGTTTGGCCTGGTGCTCTGCAACCAAATCCCGGAGCAGTTCCTCATCTGTCTTGGGAATGTGGCCACCCCGGCCTCGGGAGGGACCCCAGGCAACAGAATTGTAGATGGGGTCATTGAGAATGGGGTGGCCTAGGAATTGGAGGTGGACTCGGATCTGGTGGGTACGGCCTGTGAGTGGCTGGCACCGTACCACACTGGAGTGGCCATTGTAGCTCAGCCTCTGGAACACTGTCTCACAGGGCTTGCCCCGGGGATCCACACGGCATACTCCCACCTTGTAAGACACCACTAAGATGGGTTCCTTGCAGGTCATCTCTGTGGCAGGGAACTCCCCTTCAACCCGGCACACATATTCCTTCTCCAGCTGCACAGGAGAAAAGGGAGAAAATCAGCACAGAGCCTGTACTCATGGAGTCCAAACTCCAGACAGAGTGAAAACTACACCAGTATCAGAAATAAGATTCAAACCCTAGTGCCACCACTTTCCAGTTTCATGATCCTGGGTGCATTACTTAAATCCCCTTCACTCACCTAGAACATGTGAGATTAGAAAGACACTTACCCCACAGGGTTGTTCTGAGCATTCAGTGAATAAGGCTCTGAAGTGCTTGGTACTAAATAAGCTAGCTTTCACTCAAGAAATGCACTCAATAAATGTATTATGATCCAGGTTCAGAATTCCAAGTTTCAAGACCATGATCTCTACCTGTAAGCTCTTCTACTCAAACCTCTTCCAACTTTATCTAGAACCTTCCCACCAAGCAGGCTCTCCTCAGAACCTTAAAAACCTTCATCATCCTGTCAGCACTCTAGAACTTCAAAACAGCATACTACCAAGTGAGGCAGTTTATGTCATATCTAAAGATCTTTGGAAATATCCAGGATAACCTGTTCTTGGCATAGTTAGGCACTTAGCTTCCTGAAAGTAGGAAGCTAGGCCAGAAAAACATCAAGGCCCACTTTAGTTCTAGAATTCCATGATACTGTTCTGACACAGAGGCTCATGAGCCCAGGAAGTGACGTGGAAATGACAAAGCCTGGCTCACCTGCCGGTCCCGAACCTGCTCATGAATCCTCTCAGAGACCACAGCTGTCTTGGCAAACATGAGTACCCCTGAGGTCAGGCGGTCAAGCCGATGTAATGGGTGTAGCTCCTTCAGCTGGTGCTCCTTGCCTAGGATGAAGATGACCGTGTTGTGTCGGAAGCGGCCACAGGGGTGAACAGGAATGGAGGAAGGCTTGTCTACAACCACCACATCTTCGTTCTCAGCCAGCAGGCGAATAGGCTCTGCTGTGACTGGTGGCTCATGCCTGTGCACTGTGTTCCGCAAGAAATCATTGTCCTGTCAAAAACATCGATAACCAGTCAGCTGGGGCCAGCAGCTTCACAGGCAGCCTTCCTTGCTCTTTTGACGTGGAAGAATAGTCACAGAACCTCTTTAAGCAGAAAACACAGTGTGACCTCATTTTATAAAAATACAGACATACAGAGGAAAACAGCACACAATGAAAAAGTATACAACAATGTTAATGGTTATCTCTGGGTGGTGAGATTATGGGTATTTTCTAGGTTTGCTTGGTTGCTTATTCTTTACAGTAAAGTTGATTTTAAAAGTAAAATTGGGGCCTTGTACTTGGTAGGTAAGCACTGAACTACTTGAGCCACACTGCCAGCCCATACGTTTTTGTTTAATAAACTCCACCAATCATCACTTATAACCTTGAGCAATACCATGCAGTACTTCCAGAGGTCTGAGTTCTACACGTAGATTTGCCACAGGCTTACTACATGCTGTTGGGCAAGCTTCTCTGGGTCTCAGTTTCCTTCCGGTTAGACCACACCTGTGGTTTTCAAGAGATGGGAGAGAAGATCCCCAAATTCAAGCCAGTGTTTTTGACACAGGTTCTGGTCTCTCTTAGATGTGACAGAATCTTAAAGAAGGGGTCAAAGCACCTGGCCAGACAGTTTGAATCCCTATTCCTGACACCTAGTAATTTTATTACCTATCAGGCTGTGTGATTAATACGTTAAGTAGTAGTTATAAGAACACAGGCTTTGGAAGTGGTACTGTTGCCTACCAGCACGGTTTGCCTTATTTTAGTTTTCTTGCAAATAAAATGGGACGGCAATACCTCCTCCACAAGGTTGTCACTAGAATTAAACATTAAAGTACATACGATGCTTAATTTTGTGCCCCCCACACGGTAAGAATACATATGATAACCCCTATTATTATTATTATTTGTACAGAGAGGACGCAAGGTAGAAAATACGTAATGCCCTTGCCACAAGATAGTACATAGAAAGGAACGAGGGAATTTCAACTTCTGACCCTTGGAAACCTAGGATAAATAGGCAGAGTTCTGCAGCACGGAAAGGCCTGCGGAGACGAGGAGCGGGCACTGAAAGAGCTGCAAGTGAGACTGGGATCGCTTCTGAATTTCCATAATTTTACTTCAGCACCTATGCACTACGAAGTCTCATAAAACCCTGCCTCCCTTCCTCGCCCGCTCGTGGCCTGCCCCTTCGGACTCCACCTTGAGCACGATGCTGAGGTCTCGTACTGGCTTTTCGTTGAGGTGCAGGCGGCCTGCCCGGACCGCGGCCTCGTAGTAGGCCAGCGGCTGTGCTCGGAACTCGGTGCTGAAGACGTGCAGCAAGCTGTGGCCCACCCAGCGGCCTTTACAGTAGGTCCGGAAGTCAAAGTAATAGGGCCGCACCTTGCGCAGGCCGCCCTCGAAGTAGTAGCTGGTCTCTGCGAAATGCTCGTCGCCAAAGCTGACCCCAGTGCGCCTTTTCTTTGGGGGCGGCACCACGCGCTCCCCGGCTGCACCCCGCCGCTTCTTACGTTTGCCCGGGTCGGCAGCTGGCGCTGAAGCCGGCTCTCCGCTCTCCGGGGCTGCATCCCCACTTCCCACGGCCGGCTCCGCTCCGCGGCCTGTCGGCTCCGGGGGTCCCGGGAGCGACTCATCCTTCGCGTCGCTCCCAGCATCTCCGTTTTGCTGCACCAGCGTCCTCAGCCCGCCTCCTGACTCCTCTCCGGTAGACAGTGTTCCCGCCATCGGCCCCCTACAGCCACCCCAAGTCCTGGCAAAGCTGAAGGGCCGCAGAACCAAGCGCCACTGCACAAGGAAGCCGAGCCATCCGCGGCCGCCCAGCCACATGACAGCGCGGCCGCTCCAGGGTCGCGATCTGATGGCGTCACTAGGTTCCAGCCAATCTGCGAGACTCAGCGCCGGGGCGGGGCCCGCGCGGAGTGAATGAATGAGTGAGCCGCTGGAACTGAGATAAATGACTTGACTGGTGGCCAGTGGAGAGCTGAGGCTGTCTCACCAAAAGCGACCTCACGCCAACGTCCTTCTAGTAGGGAGAGACCACGTTAACTCATGAAGGAAATCTTCAGGCGTGCTCTGTGTAAAAGACATAGCAGGAGATGATCATATACGGTCCATGTACAAGTGTGCAAAGTTCCTTGGGTCTGGAGAAACGCTTGAAAGGAGTTTATTTAAAACAAAATAAAACAAAAACAACAAAAAATTTCAACAAACATGAAAGTTGCTAATCTCTGTGGATATACTAAAATCCACTTTACTGTGTATTTGATTTACTTTTTATTGATTGATTAATTTTGCGGTGTTAGGGATATTAGAGCCTCAAGAACTCTACCACTGAGCTACACCTCCTAACCCTATTGTATACACTAAAAGGGTGATTATTATAGTATATGACATATCTCAATAGCCATCTGTGTATTACACACACACACCCCAGAAACAATGTTTTTCACACCCTCCACAGCATGAAAAGGATTAGAGATTTCCCATTTGCCTTCTATATACTCCGATCCAAATCCACTTGCACAGTAAAACTGCAAATGGGGGCTGAAGGTGTGGCTCAAATGGTACAGTGTGGAAAACCCTGGGTTCAGTCCCCAGTACTGCAAAACAGAACAATCCACCAACCAAAAATCAAGCACAACAACAAAGCACTTTGCCAGGGTTCTTAAATGCAAAATGATGAAATCTACTCTGACTAACTTCATCAGAGAGATAATTATGGAAAGGGTATTAGTGCCACAAAGAAACACATAGGCACTTGGATGTTAATTGGCTTTCCCTGAGTAGTTTCCCAGTATATGATAAATAAACAATATCCATCAGCCAAGCCTGGGCCATAGGTCTGAGTCTTCACTTTCAGGGTGGCTGGAGATAGAAGAATATGACCCTCTTCGGTTCTAGAGTGGGATTCCTTCAAATACATAGGTATTTGGATGCTCATGTACAAAAAAGGGACAAATGTCTATTCTAATTCAACAGATAGCATTAGCCTTACATATGCTTTTACGATATAAAATGCTATTGTTGATTTAGGACATGCTTACCATATGCTTTAGCTTTCTGTAGAGGAGTAGGGAAGAATGCTACATTGCTCTGCAAATTATCAGTCTCCCCAAACTAACTAAAGGATTGCAGCTGTCACTCTTACTTCAGAGTACCCTGAGGTATCCTCAGAACTGTAAGTATAGGTTCTATAGGTATTCTCAGATCCTATAGAACTCTTTATTCTAAAAAGCCAGATTTCTGTTCCTTCCTCAAAATAAGAAGTCAAATTTTCCATTGATTGTGGGTGCATTAGAACAAAACAGCTTCAAAGGTAATACACCACTGTCGTGGGAGTTTGCTAGCTGAGACATGGGACTCTTGAGGCAATTAGCAGGAAGCAACGTTTTATTGTGCCAGCACAGACTCAGCGGACTCATGTCCAAAGGCTGAGCCCTGAGAACAAAGGGGTCTTACCTTATGTACCCTTGCAAGCAGATTACAGAAGCAAAAAGCAAAGTCTAATCCATAGATGGCTATATTTACTTTATTGGCTACTTTACCCTAGTGCTATGTGACTTTCCCCTCCCTGGTGCAACGTGACCTTCCTCATGTTCAGATTTCTCAGGTTTTATCTCTCTGCTATGCCGTCCCTACCTCCCTGCTACTTTCTCAGGACTCAGGCCTAGTCTGTTTTCTTCTGATCCTCCTCTCTGCTGCACTACTTCTCAAATGAATCATCTTATTAAGAAATTTACAATGAAGATACATCTTATCCAAAAGAAAAGTATTTTTTTTCTGGCAGTACTGGGGTTTGAGCTCAGGGCTTCATGCTAAGCAAGCACTCTATCACTTGAGCCAAATCTCCAACCCAGAAAATTATTCTTAACTAGTCTTTCTACTTCATAGAGTTTGTAGGGTTCAGTCAACTTCATCATAGGCATCTTGAGTCATAATCACCATGATTGCCCTTGACCTCTGTTGGTTTTCCCCACATCACTTTCCTGTATACAATAAATAAACAAAACCATTAGACATGTGGAACTTTACTCCTGAACACTGGCACCATCAATGCCAGGTATGTGCCTGATGTTCTTGATATTAGCTTAAGATAAACTAGTTAAACCTTGAATTCACTTTTGTCCCAACCATAATATAAGCCTCCCTTCTTCTGACCCAAATTGCAGGGGTCCACTGGTCTTGCTGCCAGCCAGAACCATGCTCTGTCAGTAAGTCCCCAATAGTCTGTCTCCCTCTTTCTTTCTTCAGTCTCACAGTTCCTTGGGGCTAGTTCTCATAAATCAGAACCAGGTTGTTCCAGGATAGTGTTGGAGAATTAAATAAATTCATTCCAATAAAACACTTAGAGTAGTGCTTAGCAAAACTATGGAGAAAGAAAACAAAAAAACTTACTCCCTTTCCTTCTGACGTACTGAATGAGAATCTGCACTCACCCTGATTTGTAGGTGATTTGTCTGCACGTCAAGGCTTGAGAAGCACTAACATAGACCATGTTGAGGAAGCATTTGTTGTACTCTGTGGACATCCAGCCTCTTCTGAACACCTTTTCACATTACATTACTGCCTCTGATAGTTAACCTTAATTGTCAACTTGATTGATTTGAGAGACACCTAGAAGATTAATCAAGCACTCTTCTGTGAGAGCGTTTGTAAAGAGGATTGACAGATAAGACAGCAATTGAGGGAGAATGACCTGACCTGTATGTGGACAGGACCAACCAATATCCCTGGAGCCCAGATAGGATAAAACTGGGAAAAGGAGGAAGTGCAAGTGCCACCTTTCCTGGGTGATGTGTCTGTTGCTACTACCATTGGCTATGGACATCAGACTCCAGCTTCTTTATTCTAGTGACTCTCCAGGGATCTTTCAGGCCTTCAGCCTGCGACTGGGACTGCCTCATTGGTTCCCCTTGTTCTGAGGCTTACAGCTTCTTGGACTGAGCAGCTACCAGGTTCTCTGGCTCAATGACTGCATGCAGTCAGGAATTGTTGGACTGCCCAGCCTCCAATCATGTAAATCAACCTGAAAAATCCCCATTTATAATTACATCTACTGGTTCTGTTCCTGTAGAGAACCCTGATTAATACACTGGTGTTCCCTGCCTCCTTTGCTGCTTGGGCATAGGCATTTGACCCGGCCTCCATCCATCTAAAGCACACAGGAGTAAAAGCAGACACAGTGTAGAGCCATATCTAGAAAAAAAGTGTCTAGATCTGGGGGGAGGTCCTCAATGGGGGAGTTTCCTGTGTCCAGTGCACAGGCAACAATGCCAGCTATAATGTCTATGTTCGTGACAGTGGGGTGTTTCCTGGTCAATCTTAAGCGTGATTTGTTCACTTTGAGAGTCTGTGAACTACTTAACATACCACAACTACTTAATATACTACAGTCTTCTGCTATACAATAGGGTCAGGGTTAGCCATACGTGGCTATTTAAATTTATTTAGGTGGCACTGGGGTTTGAACTCAGGACCTCATGCTTGGTAGGCAGGTGCTCTACCACTTGAGCCATTCCACCAGTCCTTTTTGTGTTGGTTTTTTTCCAAGATAGGGTCTTGCAAACTATTTGCCTAGGGCAGGCTTTGAACCACCATTCTCCTAATCTCTGCCTCCTGAGTGGCTAGGATTACGGTTGTGAGCCACCGGCACCAGGCTAGCTACTTACATTTAAATTAACTACAATAGTATTTAAAGTTCAATTCCTCAGTTACACTGTCACATTTTAAGTCCTCAAGAGTTGTATGAAGCTAGTGGTTATCTTGCTGGACAGCTTAGATTCAGAACATTTTGAGCATCATAGAAGGATCTAGCAGACAGAGCTGCTTTAATTAATACTTTTACTTTCTGTTTAAACTGGCTGGCATTAGTTCTGTGGTTTGAATTTACTATCATGAGGATTTAAGAATTTTTTAAAAATACTTGAGCCACTCCACCAGCCCTTTTTTTTGTGATGGGTTTTTTGGAGATAGGGTCTCACAAACTATTTGTCCCAGCTGTCTTTGAACCAGGACCCTCCTGATCTCTGTCTTCTGAGTAGTTAGGATTACAGATGTGAGCCACTGGCGCCTGGCTAGATTTAAGTATTTTTAAAGAGCAATGGGAAACTGTGAAATCATTTTTCCTGGGGGGGGGATGAGAGAAAGAGAGAAAGAGAGAGGAGAAGGAGGAGAAGAGAGAGAAGAATAGGAGGAGGAGGAGGAGTACCTTGTTGTGCTGTTGCGGGAGTTTTCTAGCTGAGATACGGGACTCTTGAGGCAATTAGCAGGAAGCAACGTTTTATTGTGCCAGCACAGACTCAGCGGACTCATGTCCAAAGGCTGAGTCCTGAGAACAAAAGGGTCTTACCTTATATATCCTTGCAAGCAGATTTCAGAAGCAAAAAGCAAGGTCTAATCCATAGATGGTTATATTTCATTTTATTGGCTACTTTACCCTAGTGCTATGTGACTCTCCCCTCCCTGGTGCTACATGACTTTCCTCATGTTCAGATTTCTCAGGTTTTATCTCTGCTATGCCATCCTTACCTCCCTGCTACTTTCTCAGGACTCAGGCCTAGTCTGTTTTCTTCTGATCTTCCTCCCTGCTACAGTGCTACTTGTAGATGGTGGTTGGTTGTTACTATCATAGCTACATCGATAGGGTTTGACACATCTAGAGACAATGTCTCAGTCAAGTTACTTCTACTGATGGTTGGCTGATGTCTTTCATCACGTGTTTTTTGGGGGAGACAGAAACATCCCTGGAAATTGGGGACAGGGAAGGGTTGTAACTCAATGAACATGTTGGTATTCCTTGGAGGTTATCCAAGAACATCTTTTAAAAAGTGTCTCTGACATACATTTTATTTCATATACTGTGGCCACATTCCCTTCACATACTCTGTAACTCTGATGTGATTTGTGATCTTGTCTGCCTCCTTGGCATCCCCCTCCCACACAACACTAGAAGAATCTCAGACTCACACTGTCTTACATGTCTGGAATCCATGCTTACAATGCATAGAACACAACAGGAGCTTGGTGTCTTTTCACTAAATGAACTCACTGATGGGGCATGGGTCTCCCGTGACACTAAGGAAAGAAGTCACTGATGCGCTAACTTGGGTAGTAAACACCCAGGGAACTGACTGGGAAGTAATTGATATATGATGTACTGTCTCCAATTTCTAATAATCTATCTGTTTGGGAAATATACTGAAAACAGTCCAAGCAGGGTTGGGTGGAAAGGGCTACCCAGAGCCAGGAAGCTTTAATAACCATCTAGGTTTCAAGAAGGGCTTTAGAGGTCAGGAAGATCTCCGGGGACCAAGAAAAGTCAAAGGTCTTGAAAACTGGGCTTCCCTATCCGAGCAAGGGATGGGCAGGTGGAGAGCTGGAACCCCTGGATAGCCAAGGAATCAACCCCATCCCCTGGAGCGGAGAGTGTAAGGCTCAGAGGACACGCTTCCACCGTTTCACGGCAACCATAGTCCCGCCCACCGCTTCTCCGCCCTCTACTCCTTGCGTCCTCAGGAGTGATAGCTGACCAATCAACGTGCATAACGTCACTAGGTCGAACAGTGATTGGAGAACTCTCGGCTCCGTCACCCGGAGACTCCACTCCTCCCCGCTTCTTCCTGACTGCCGGCGACAGACCTGAAGCCGGTCGTTTGCGTGCTGCTGGGCAGGAGATTGCGGTAGGTGAGGGGTGCCGGGGTGCCCAGTGTTTTGTGTTCTTTGCTCTGGCCTAACCCCGGAACACCACAGAGGGTGTCAATGACATGATTCTTCCTGCCCATCCAGTTCTTGAGGCCCGAGTGACTGAGGCCTGGGGTCTGGACATAGGGTTTCCTGCCCGGTTCTGGACGCCCTGGGAGCAGGGCACCCGGGACTCCGGTGAGAGCGAAGTTTGCGGTTAGGTGTGTTCGGAGGACTTCAGATGGGGGTTCGTCAGCCGCCCAGGGACTCCGTGACAGCCTGTCCCTCCTACTTCGGGCCCTTGCCCTGGCTGAACTCTGTCTCCTGGACTGTTTTCCTGATCTCTAAAGCTCCTCTTGAAAGGTGTCTACCGATCCTATAAACCTGGGAGATTATGAAAGCCCCCGGGCTCGGGGCAGAGCCCTTCCCATCTGACCCTGATGTCCCTGCATGGGCTGCTTTCAGTATATTTCCCAGAGAGCATTGGTACTGGGTAAAAATAAGGATATTGGAGCAGTACGCCACATTGTCAGTAGCTGTTCTGAGCCTCAGTCTCTCTTCCTCGTCGCAGTCCATCCTCCTTCTCCTCCTCTCTGGCTTTAGTGGAAATGGGGCGAAGTTATGGGAAAAATGAATCAAGCATCCTCAATATTGGTGTCTGCCTCCTTGAGTAGCCAGGAGTACGGGTGTGAGCCACCAGCATCCAGCTCTGGTACTGGTTTTGGGTTTAAATCATTGTGTGATCTGCTGAGTGTTTCCCCTGACCTTAATTTTGTGAAAATCTACCCCCAAGGTAAAAGGTATGGTGGTACTCCTCCCAACCCCAAAAGAACACCTTGAATGTTCAGGATGTACAGAGCTCTGTACTCTAAAATTACTCAAGTAACTGGCAACTGCATGGAGTATGCTACATTATTATCACAAAAATTACTGTTGTACACATGAATACTGCTCACCAAAAACCAGAGCTTACTTCATGTTTTCTCCACGGCAGTGGTGACACCAAGAGTGTCCTGGTAATGACAATGATAATAATTATAATAATGTGATAAGAAATAAAGCCTGGAGAAGAAAACAAAATAAAATGACATAAATGCAGTCACATGTCCTTATACTATGACAGTACTCTCTGACAGACGCTTCACGGAGCAGTACTTCTCTGTCTTCACGTGTGTAGGACTGTACAAGGCCGTCAGTCTGTGCCCTGTTGAAGACAGAGTTTAATTGGCTGTAGACCAGTGGTATTTTGGAGATCTTTGGAGAAAAGTGTAGCTAGTTGTGCACACTAGAAGCATCCTGGAAATTCTTTTTAAAAATTGCTTTTATAATACACATAAAGAATACAGAGGGGAGGAAAAAGGGAGCACATTTTAACTAAAAGAGCTGACAATTTTATTTTCACATTTCACAATCAAATGCAAACTGTACTTTTTGGCCCCACTTGTTCCCTCCAAAACTGTTCTCTTGATAAGAAGGGGAGCAAGTCTTCCTTATTATCGTGTTGGAAAACACCCAGCATCACAGCACGGTGAGCCCCTGGTGAAGCAGAACACATAACATAAAACCGATGCACAGAGGCCTGCCTTGTGTCCTTATCTGTCTTGAGCCTGCCTTTTATCCTTATCTGTCTGGTCGAGTCATTCCTGATTGAGTGAGCACCATCATGGGACGAGCACATCTCACCCTGGAGGCCCAGGCATCGTTGGCTTGTGGTCTTCCAGGGGGCTGCTGACATCATACCAGGGCAGGGAGGACCCAGGAGACTGGGGGATGGGGCGGTCATTGCCCCTGCAAGAGGAGGAGCAGAGAAAGGCCCTCAGGACTATCCTTGTTGAAATGTGGCCATTGCTCTGTCAGTCAGGCAGTGTCCTCATGGATGCAGTCAAGGGTGAGGTATGTGTCACAGCAGGCACAATAAAACTTAGGCGCATTGCTCTTCAGGCCACTGCACTCTGTTCTGGAAATTTTTTTTTTTTTGTGGTACCACAATTTGAACTCAGGGCCTTCATCTTGAGCTACTTCACCAGCCTTTTTATGTGATGGTTTTTTTCAAGTTAGGGTCTGGTGAACTATTTGCCCGGGGTGGCTTCGAACTGCAATCCTCCTGATCTCTGCCCCTGAGTTGCTAGGATTATAGGTGTGAGGCATCGGCGCCTGGCTTGTCCTAGAAATTCTTGTGGGAGTAAAATTTACCATGTCAGCCACCCACTCTCCTGTGTACTGTTCAGCCCCATTTATGTTCTTGTGCAACTGTAGCCTCCATCCATCTCCAGAACATTCTCTTCTTCCCAAATGGAAGCTCTGAACCCAGTAAATAGCAACCCCCCCATTCTCTCCCTCCACTCAAGTCCCTGGTGAGCACCGATCTATATTCTGTCTATCAATTTGACTGGTTTCTCATATAATGGTATCAAGAAATGCTTGTTCTTTTGTGTCTGGGCTGGTAGAAATTCCATTTCCAAAAACCCACTTCATGAAAACAACTTGAGTGCTGAGCCAGAAAAGGAACCCAATTGCCTGTAGGAGTTGAACCTGATAGAAAAGATTTTTAACTTTTGTTAAAAACTTTTTTTTTTAATGCGACTGGGTTTAAACTCGGGTCTTTGCATTTGTCAGGTAGGTGCTCTACCACTTGAGCCACGCCTCCAGTCCTGTTGCTTTTAGTTATTTTTTCAGATAGGGTCTCATGCATTTGCCCAGGCCAGTGTAGGCATCAGTTCTCCTACCTATACTTTCCACATAGCTGAGATTACAGATATACACCATCATGCTTGGCTTATTAATTGAGATAGGATCTTGTTAACTTTTTACTTGAGTTGGCTTCAAACCATGATCCTCCCGACATCCACCTGTCAAGTAACTGAGATTATAGACATGTACTACTGTGTGCAGCCTAAAAGAAACTTCTTTAAAGCCTATTACATTTCTTGAATGGGTAAACAAACTTGTGAATTCCACACACTTATCCTGTGTCCTTACAGCTTGTGTTTACTGACTTGAACTCCTGTTTTCCAGCTCAGATTCCAGATGAAAATGTTTGAGAGTATAGACTCTACAGCCTCAAGATCCGGCCAGGATCTCTGGGCTGACATCTGCTCCTGTCTGCCAAACCCCACCCAAGAAGATGCTGCAAACAGTGCCTTCTCGGACTCCTTTGTGGATTGTCACCCTGCAGGTGAAGGCCAGAGGAGGGCCGCAGACTTTGCTGTGGAGCCAGCTTTAAAGCCCTGGGCTCCCTTGCAAGACTCAGAAGTGTATTTAGCATCTCTAGGTAAGTTAAATAGCTCATTCTGTCTCATATTCTGGGTTTTGAAATTTGGGCCTTGTGCTTGCTTGGCAAGCTCTCTACCCCTTGAGCCATGCCTTAGACTTTTTTTTTGCTTTAGGTATTTTTCAAATAGGGTCTTGCATTTATGCCCTGGCCAGCCTGGTTCTCCTATTATGCTTCCCATGTGGCTGGGATGACAGGTACATGCCACCATGCCTAGCTTTTGTTGGTTGCAAACTTATTGTCCAGGCTGGCCTTGAACCTCTGTCTTCCCCATCTCTGCTTCCAGAGGAGGTGGGAGTACAGAAGTGAGCCACAGTACCCAGCCTGCTTTCTTGCTCTCTCTTTTTCTTTTTTTTTTGGTGAGACTGGGGTGTGAACTCAGGGCCTTCTGCTTGCTAGGCAAGCAGTCTACCACTTGAGCCACTCCACCAGCCCTCACCAACCCTGTTTTTTTTTGTGATGGTTTTTTTGAAGACAGGGTCTCACAAACTGTTTTGCTCAGGCTGACTTTGAACCGTGATCCTCCTGATATCTGTCTCCTGAGGAGCTAGGATTACAGGCGTGAGCTATCAGCGCCCAGCTACAAAAACAGTTTTAAGAGAAGTGCAAGTAAAGGTGGGGCTTCTTCCCAATAGTTTGAGAGACCCCCATCCTCAATTCAAACCCCAGTCCCACCAAAAAAACAAAACAAAGCAAAGCAAAATAAAAAAAACCTGTTTGTGTCACCTTGTGCTTTTCATCTTTTGATCTAAATTCTGTTTTATTCTTGGCATTCTATAGAACACTCTTGGTTGCTATTGGTGGCCCATTTGAGTTCAAATAACTCAAAAGAGTTAAATTTTATGCAATCATGATAGAAAAACTCATGGCCCCAAAGCTACTTGGGGATTTCTGATAGTAGAATTTGAAAAGTGTTATATTCAATACCTTAATTAAATTTTAGCATATTCGTAAAAGATTTATTCTGCCTCCTGTTAGCCTTTTTTTTTTGGTGGTCCTGGAGTTTGAACTCAGGTCCTCACACTTGCTAAGCCAGCACCCTACCACTTGAGCCACTCTGCCAGCCCAATAGCTATTTTTTCTTTTGGTTTGTTTTTAATATTTCCTGAACACATTTTTATTTATTATTATTATTATTTTGGGGGGTACTGGGTTTTGAATTCAGAGCTTCATCCTTGCTAGGCAAGTGCTCTACCACTTGAGTCACTCTGCCAGTCCTATTTTATGTTGGATATTCTCGAGATAGGTCTGGCTTCCACCCTCTTGATATCTGCCTTCTGAGTAGCCAGGATTACAGGTGTGAGCCACTGGCACCCAGCCTGAACACATTTTTACTGCCTGTTATATGGCCATGGTGTAAGTTTCTAGAAAATCTCTAACACAGGAAAGAGACTAAGAGTGTTCCTTGTGAGAGGAAAGAGATTGCCGGTCTTTGGAATTGTGTTATCTATCTATCTATCTATCAGTCCTGGGAATTGAACCAGGCCTAAAACACCCGAAGAAAGTGTTGTACCATAAAGCCTTGTCCCCAGCCCTTTTGAATTTATTTCTAAACTAATACATAAAGACATAAAAAGTGTACATACTGATGAGGCACTGTGTACTGTTTCAGTACATATATACATTCTGTAACATTTAAAACAGAATAGACGTACCTGTTTCCTCAAACATTTTTCATTTCCTTATGGTGAAAACTTTCAAAATACTTTCTTATGGTCCCCTTTTAGTGTTGAACATTCATGACACCCATCCATGTGTCACAAGACCAAACCTGGAAATTATTATTTGAGGAAGGAAAAGCAATTCAGCTGTACCACTGAGCCACACCTCCATCCTTCTGGAGGAAGGAGCTTTTGAAGAAGAACAGAAAGAAGAGTCAAAGAGAACTTATAGGATTGCTAAAAAATCTCTTGGGAAAACAAAAGGAATTTCATTAATGACATACTGGAAGAAAAAAGAATGAGAAAAACAGAGTTGGAATGGCGGAGAATGACAAAGATGAGGGATTAGTGTAAAATTTGTCAGAAAGCCACCAAAGGTAGTATAGTAATGCTCACAGTCATGGCGAGGGGGTTGAAAGTCCTGTTTGTGGCAGATAGACCATCTGCTTAATGGTGATAAGGAGGCTGAGGAAGGAAGATCCAGTATCTGAGGCCAGCCTGTGCTACATAGCTAGACCCTGTCTCAAAGAAAGTGTCTATTGCTATTGGTTCTGAGTTTGATGTCTGTTCTTCCCTAACCAAAAAAACCACTTACCCATGCACAGTCATGCATTGCTTAACAGCAGGAATATGTTCCGAGAGGTGTGTCAGGTGATCTCATCATTGTGTGAACATTGTAGCATGTATTTACTCAGACTCAAACAGCCATGACCTCACTTGACCATCAACAGGAAACCACCATGGTGTATGTGGTCCATCCTTGACCACAACATTGGGCATCATGTGGCTCATGACTATATTATAGTTGAAGACAAGACCAGCTGGTAAATGGTGACGGCCTTTCCTGCACCTTTCTATAGGGGAGAGCCATTCAACAATTATACTTAAAATTCAAAGAAGATTAACTGAACCTCTATCATCAGGAAGCCATGTGGACCACTTTCAAAGGGATTGCAGGATGTTTACTTGTATTAGATTCCAAAATCCAGGTCACAAATCGAGCAACTTTTTTTAAATGTTAGGAGATTCTTTTTCTTTAATCAAAAATTTAATCACACATGGAGATCTTAAAGGTCTCTTATTACTCGTTCTCATGAAGTCAGTTCTAGAGTCTAATGAACCATTGGCTCTCTCATCATTCTCTCTAGTTCTTTCTCATGAGGTTTGGAAAGCACTTCATGTTACCATAACAGGAAAAAAAAAACGTTTACTCCTCAGAGACATTATTTTCAAGGAGCTGAAAAAAGACGATAGTGTACACATGTCAAGCCAAGAAAACAAGCATTCCTTAGAGAGATACCTGCTGGCTTCTGTAATCTCAAAGCAAGCATGCCATTGATTGATTTATGAAAACCTATGGCTTTTCCTTTTTCTGAGACTAAATATTTTTTTTTGATATAACAGGATGGGGACATTGTGAAGGAAAAAGAAGTATGTTCAGCCTCCTTTGCAAGTGAGGGAATAAGGGTGTGTTCATCAGTGAGAGAATTGTTCAACTGATATTTTACATTTGAAATTTAGTTAATATTTAATTTCATCCTCACTTTTATTGTTAAGCTCTGTATCTTTTCTCTTTAGAGAAGAAACTAAGAAGAATCAAAGGATTAAATGAGGAAGTGACTTCCAAGGACATGCTACGAACTCTGGCCCAAGCCAAGAAGGAATGCTGGGACCGATTCCTCCAGGAGAAGTTGGCATCAGATTTCTTTGTGGATGGACTTGATTCTGATGAGAGGTAATTTGTCCCCATCCAGTTCCTGTGACAGTCTGTTTCCCTGCAAGCAGAATTTTAAATCTTGGTAAGAAATTATTCAAAATAAAAATTGGTAGGGGAACCTACCATTTTAATAAGCACAATTTTATGTTTTTACATATCAGTTAAAAAAGAAATTTAATTGAATTTTTTTTAAAGAAATCAGCTAGCAGAGTGGCTCAAGTAATAGGCACCTGCCTAACAAGCATAAGGCCCTGAGTGCAAACCCGAGTACCACAAAAAGGAAAAAAAAAAAAATGGTGGGAGTAGTGAAGTGAAAGCCAGAATTTTAACAAAAGATCTTAGCAGGGGACTGGAGTTGTGGCTCAAGTGTAGAGCACCTGCTTTACAAGAGTGAAGGCCTGAGTTCAAACTCCAGTCCCACCAAAAAGGAAAAAGGTCTTAGGGGATATAATTTCACCTAAGCTTACAACACATCATTAACGTTCACTTTGAGAATTCATCATGTCAAATGAAAATGCTACTGGTGAAATCAAGGACAATATATGAATAAAACTTCACAGTTAGCTAGGCATGTTGGCTCATGACTGTAATCTCAGTCACTCAGAAGGCAGAGACTTGGAAAATTATACTTTGAGGCCAGCCTAGGCAAAAAGTTCACAAGACCCTGATCTTGACCAGTAAAAAGCTGGGCACAATGGCATGCAGCTGTCTTCCCATCTAGGAGGAGGGTCTCAGTCCAGGCCAGCCCAGGCATAAATGAGAGACCCTATCTCAATGACCAAAGGAAAAAGGGCTGGGGGCATGACTTATGAGGTAGAGCACCTGAGGCCTGTATTAAAATCCCACCACCACCAAAAAACAAAACAAAAAACAACTTCATTGTTACATTTAACTTTTAAATTTGCAAAGTGCTTTCATTTACATTTTCACAAATATTGCTGCATCATACCCTATTTTCTTCAGAATTCAATGTAGCATCTTATGGTCAGGCCAACTACCCTGTCAGGCTTCAGAAAATGATACAGATTCTACCCTTTTCTATCTCTAAAGGTTCAACATAAATGAGCCTTAAGCTGTCCCAAAGATAGGTGATTTGAAGATGCAGACTCCTGACCCACTAATAATTTGTATTTGCTTGTAGCCTCTCTCCTCATGAATATTCCTCTCTGCTCTAGTTCTTTTATTGGTGGGACTGGCATTTGAACTCAGGACTTCACACTTGCAAAGCAGGTGCTCTGCCACTTGACCCACAACTCTGATCTATTTTGCTCTGATTATTTTGGAAATTGGGTCTCATGAACTACTTGCCTGGGGCTGGCCTCAAACTATGATCCTCGTGATCTCAGCCTCCCAAGTAGCTAGGATTGCAGGTGTGAGCCACGGCCTGTGGCTTTCCACTTCAGTTCTGAGAAGACAAAACTTTCTCCTGCACAATTGGTCAGTAGGAATTCTCTTTCTCTGAAATAAATTGGCATGTTTCTGTGTACTTATCCATGACTAAAACACAGCGCTTTTTCCATTTTCTATAGAAATAATTTGAACAACTCTTTGGGGAGGGTGGTGCATGATTAAATGTCCCATTACATCCTGTTCTCCCCAGCTGCTTGCTCTGACCGCTGACACTTGCAGTTGTTTCCCAGGCCCACACCTGTGGGAACGCTTCTTTCTCTCATTGCTCAGAACAGCAATGAGACCAGGAAACAGTAGCCATGCGTTTGTGTTCCAACTTCAAAGTTTATATTATGAACAGAACATTTTCAGGGAGCTGGTGAAGGTCAGGTAGGTGACCCTCTTCCTACCATGCTTTTGGCAAGGAAGTTATAAGCTGAGAAATCCAACTGTCTGGGCTGAAGGTATGGCTCAAGTGGTTGAGTACCTGCCTAGGAAACTCAAGGCCCTGAGTTCAAACCCCAGGCCCACCAAAAAAACAAAACACCTGTACACTTTGCATATGCTCCTGGGGAAAAGATGTAAGATATAAATTCTTGTTAAATAAAATGTTTAAAAAAAAAAAAAGTCCAACTGTCTAAAACGTAATTCCCCCTCCACTGACTGATATCTAAAGTCTGTTGTTATGACTTTGCGCTGTTACAGAGCATAGAATGAAGTTTAAATTATTCTACTTTACCATGAATGTCTAATAGCTGTAAGGTATACTTAAGTATAGTGTGTGGGAGAGGGGACCACCATGAGCCCAACAGTCACATTTCCCCACTGTAGGGGTTGGGGATTTAGCTCAGTGGAAGGGCGCTTGAATTCGGTCCCCAGCACCGAGAAAAAAAAAAAAGAGAAAAGACAAAAAAACCCCAAAAAACAAGGCAACTGCACATTTCCCCACTCTACACAAGCAAGCAAAAAGCCCTCTGGCATAGTGGCTATTCCCTTATTTTTGCTTCCCCACCTCCCCAGTGGACATTCCTTGGTGGGAACATTTGGTACTTAGATGTTTCTATCTTGGGGACTTCCTATGGAACGAAATAAGCAAACAAGCCCCCCACACAAAAAACCAACCCCAAAACCTGTCTTTCCCATAAATATGTGCTATATGTGTAACTGAGCCTCTCCAGTATGAGAGGCAGGCTTCTGATCAGGCTGCTGCCTCACTAGTAATTTGGTACTTAGTTGAGTGTTTCTCGACAGTTCCCCTCCTCTTTGGTTTTGAGGAAGAAAAGACAGGACTGAGGCATAAGCTCTTGACTGTCCTCATCAGGCCTTCTGAGGCATGTGTGAAGGAGGCCTGGTGCTGCTTTAGCAAAAGTGCCCACTAGGGGGTAAATTATGCCACGGAGCTGCCAGGATGCACAGCTGTCAAGAAGTGTAGCGCTTCTCCCCATGTTAGCCGAGAAGAACAATTGTAGGGAGAAATTGGTGGGAGGGAAGGCAGTATTTGAACAACGAAGCTAATCATTAAGCAATGAATCAGCAAGGTCTCATACAGACACCCTTGCCTTCTGCTCTTTCCTAGCACCTTGGAACATTTCAAGAGGTGGCTCCAGCCAGATAAAGTTGCCATCAGTACAGAGGAGGTCCAGTGTCTGATCCCTCCAGACTCACACGTGGAGAAGCCAGCAGCTGGGGATAAGGCACCAGCAGCAGAACAATAAATTATATGCACATACACAGAGCAGCTGTCTGGGTCCAGAGGGAACAGTGAAGAGGTTGGCAGCAGTGGAAGGAAGCAAGAAGAAACCCAGGGAGGGAAATGCCTGAACTTCCACTCCACAGAGCAAACAGCTGCAGGACCCTGAGGGCTCACTTGGGGCTGGCATCTGTGACCGTCTTGGATGAAATGTCTGACCCAGTATGTGCTGGATCCAAATACTGGTTTCATCTGCATGTCACAGCTTGACTAAGCTGTGGTGCCGAGGCCAGAGGTCTGCTAAGATCGAGTGAAGAACAGAATGTAGAAGAGCTTGGAGACACTGTGCCCTTGTGTATATGTATAAGTTAAGCAAGCCATATTTTTTTTGGTCTCTTCTGGGTATTTGTACTTGTGTCTCAGACATTCCCTTGCTAAATTCTCAGGGGTGAGTGGAGCCTAGGAGAGTGATGTTGGCCTCCTTGAATCCAAGCCTACATGGGGCTCCTCTCACAGGTCCATAGTAAATAGAGGGACTCTGGAGAAATGGGCTTTTCCTTTGGCTGATTTGTTCCTTGTGGAGAAAATGGGCAAAAGAAGTGTGAAAATGTGGGTGTTTATATCTCAGTAGATATGTTTTTTATTTCATGCATGACTCTCCCTCAACTTTCTCCTGTACCAGGTTCCAAATTAGACTTGTAAATATGGTTCAGTGTTTGACACTACTGAATAGCTCCAAACTTGTTCCTTGTGGTAGCTTCCTTGGCTGAGCCTGCACTTTTCTTCTTGTTTGTTGTGTTCTTATTCATTTAAACATTTAAAGTATGGTATGTGTTGTCCATATAAAACTTTTCTCAGAATAACTACGTTTCTCAGTGGAAGAGCACTTGCTTGGTATGCACAAGGCTCTGGGTTTAATCCCCAACAGAAGGAAGGAAGGAAGGAATAGAGGGAGGGAAGAAGGAAGAGAGGGAGGGAGGAGAAGGGAGAATAACTGTGTGTGTGGTATGATGCTGTTAGGCCCTGGGTTCAATCCCCAGCAGAAGAGAGGAAGGAAGGGAGGGAGAGAGGGATGGAGCAAGAGAGGGAGGGAGGGGAAAGGAAGAATAACTGTGTGTGCGGTGCTGTTGACCAGTTTCCTCCCAGGTGGACGCTCCCAGGCTGTGGGGATGCAAAGACAGTGCGTGCCAGTGCAGGGGAGTGGGTGACCTTCGCCAGCCTCCTGTTTTTAGCACATGCCCTCTGCCAATCCAAACCTTGGTGTTCTGAGGGTAGACTCTGGGGCCAGGGCTCTATGGAGCTTCCTTCGGGGTAGCAGTTTCCAACTCCCGAATGCTGTGGTTCTAACAATCTTGCGAGAACATTTGCTTATTTCTAAATCAAGTATTTGCCTGATCCAAAAGAACAGGAGCCAAGTAGGTGATTCTGTTTTCCTGCTTAAGAACAGGAATGCTTTTATTACAATTTCCAGAGATATTTTCCCCTCTTTTTCCATTGACTACTGGTGTGAGCTTCATCCCTTGTGCTTTTCATTACTAAGATGTTCTTGACATAGGAGGTGGTCCTTTGTGGCCCCAGGCACCTTGGGGAAAGAGGGCATTGACAGACATCTGGCCCTGGATCAGATATTCAAGCTGCCATCTCTGTCTAGGGTTCAAATGCCAGATCTTGCTCTTCCTCCAGGACCATCTGATGACTTTCAGCTGGATGGGTAGGTTTTTAAAAGAAAAGACTAGAATTTTTCTTTATCCTGCGTTGTAAACAAACAAACAAAAAATTCTTCCTTACTAATGTCAATGTAAGGAAGAAAAGTGATGCAGTTCCAAAAAACTGCCAAAAAGCAGCTGGCCCTTGGATGGTAAGAGAATGTTTCTATACCAGAGTATAGTGTTTGTGTAATTCAGGCAATATTGCAACTTTTCCTTTTCCCTACCTCCATTTCTATCTCAGAAACAGACAGTTTAGTATGAAAGGAGGGAGGTCAATTTAGAGGAGTAGTGAGATGACCCCAGATTTCCAGCTCCCTTCTCCATTAACTAAAAGAGAGACAGGTTGCCATAAGAGGGAACCCAGTGAATTATAGCTACGATCTCTTCGTTGATTTAGAGATGGTGCCTTAAGTGATTGCTTTAAAAGAGGTGAAACCCCATTGACCAAAGCCAAATTTGATATCAGCTCAAAGCTAACTTATAGACTTATTTTAGGCTATGGAAGTGGCACTAAATTTGAAACCAAGCATCTTGGGTGCTATCTTTGTCCTGTGGCTTACTGTGTGGTCATAAATAAGTCAAATGACCTCTTTGTGTTCCAGTTCCCTTTCAGTTGGATTGACCAAAGGAACAATAATATCGACCTAAAATGCTGACCTGTTTCCTTTGGTCCTGAAGACTTGAAGGAACTCCAGTGAGGATTTCATCAAATCAGTGAAATTTATGAGTTGGGAGAGCCTTATCACGCCTAACTTTCTTCCTTCCTGGTATTATTAGTGAAACAGAAAGTTAGGGCACATGCAGCAATATTTAGTGGTAAACCACATAGCCAGAGAGGTGTAGTGACCAGTAGTGACCTGGTACACCCAGAGAAGTTTGGGTTGGATCCAGGGAGAGAAGCTAAGTGACTGCCACTATTCTTTCTGGCACATGTACTCATTACCCCATGCTTGGCAAGGTCACTGCAGGAATGACACAGGCTCTTATCCAGTACCTGCTCCAGAAATAGGCTCTGGACGTGGGCACAGCAAATAAACACACATCCCACCAGCTGTTGCCGAGGTGTGTCCCTCCCAGGCAGACCTTCCCACCAGGATGGTTGCTGAAAGACAGAAGATGCCCTGGAGCCACTTCCTGGCCCTGCCTTGGACACCCACAATGTCCCCAACTTTTGAAGCTTTCCCAACCAGCACTGGCCCTGCTTCAGTTATAAGACACAAGACAGGACACTGCCATAGCAATTGTAGCTTTGTGACGGGGCTGTTTACTTGAGCCCAGGAGTGAGCTGTTTAAGGCAGAGATTCACTCATCTAACCAAGGTGTGTTGAGCCTTTGCCATGCTCCAGACACTGGCCATGGTGGTAAATAAAACAAAACCCCCCTCCCACGTGGAACAAAGGGGGAAGTGTAAGCATGGGGGCTTTGGGAGATCCAGGACAGAGAGATAAGAGCTGTAGGTCAGTCAGCATGGGGATGAGAGAGAGGCAGTGTTAGAAAAGCTGGTCCAAGTAGGAGAAAGAAAACAGAGGGTTCAGAGCATAAGGACCAGGGACTGGCAGAGTGGCTCAAGTGGTAGAGTGACTGCCTAATAAGCACAAGGCCCTGAGTTCAAACCCCAATATCACCAAAAACAACAACAAAAAGAGTCTCAGGAGAGGAAAAGAGCAGGTGCAAAGGCCTGAGGGCAAAAAAAAGTTTGAAGGGTTAAAAGTGGTTCAGTAGCTGGAGCATACAGAACAGAGGAAGAATGGCAAGAGGTGAGGCTGGAAATTAATACACAGACCACACGTGAAGGGCTTCATAACCGTGTTAAGGAGTTGGGAATTTATTGTAGGGACACAGGGAGCTAATGGACCATTTTAAAGGGAGAGGTGACAAAGCAGGATTTGCATCTAGGAAGATGGTTATGCTTGACCTGACTAAATTGATAGGAAGTATACAAATTATTCGTACTTGGCAATGAAATGTCTACATGAAATAATGCGGTTAGCAGACTCATGGTTTTTTCTTTGTATTTTCTACTTTGATTGTTTTGTGTTGTTTCCACTGTTATACAACAAACAGAATCATGTATGGCAGGTTGGATTTTCTAACAATATGGCCATATCAGTATATCACACCCCACACATTCATGTTCCAGTGTGATGTGAACACTCCTCCATTGAGATGTTGGGTCAGTGTTCCCTCCCTTTGAACCTGGCAGACCTATGTAATTGCCTTGCACAAGTCACAAATCATGTGACTTCTGAGGCCAGGTGGTAAAAGCTTTCCACCTGATCTCTGCCCCTTCCCTCTCTTCATTCAAATGATTTCAGCCCCAGCCTCCAAGGTGGCCCAACTGACACAACGTGGAGCAAAGACAAGTGTTCTCTGAAGAACCCTGCACATTTATGACCAAAATAAATGTCATGGCTTAAGCCACTAAGTTTGGGCTGGATTTGTTACTCAGCATAGATTACCAATAACCATGATCTAAGTTTCACATTTTATGTAGCTAATTTCAAGTGTTTTAATGTGCAGCTCCCTCTAATCTCTGATGGTTACACGGTTTTAGTACTTATGCTGGCTACAGTAGGGACAGAAGCAAAATTAGATTCAGGGGTCCAGTTGTGAGATGGTTTCAGTTGTCTAAGAAAAAGATGGTGATGACTCGAGGACTTCTGGTTCCACTTAGGATGTAGAACAGTGCGAGAAAAATGTCTCAGGCACTCTAACAATGAGAAACAGCCAGACGATCTACCTAATGATAGCTTTTCTTGAACCCATCAGGAGCAACCAAGCAAAGTCCCTCCAAGAAGAGCTAGGGACATATGAACGATTTCAAATTGGGCAAATATGTGGCTGTCATACAAGTGCTTAAGAAGAAACCCACAAAAATGTTAACAAAAATATAAAGGCTGTTCAAACCCCGGTACTGTCAATATACATATATGTATATGTATATGCATTCTGTATGTCTGTTTAATGGCTGGAGACTATTCCAGACATGGGGAGTCTGCATGTACAAGCAGCCTTATTTCCCAGGCCTTCCCCTGGGTTTCTGAAAGAAATTGGGAGCAGGGCAGGAGATAGGAGAGGGCTTTCCTCTTTGCTGGCACAGGCCCACAGGAGTTACCAAGATGTCTGCAGGGGAAGCAAACAGCCTCCACTGCCTCCTCCTTCTCGCCTGTGAGCAAAGGCCTCAAGCTTCTCGGGGAGGGACGACAGACTCTTGTTGCAGGGGAAGGAAGACAAGACTCATCTGCCTCTAGTGAGGACAAACCTTTTTGTCCCTCCGAACACAGGCAAAGATACATTGCTTCTGGGGAACAAATAGAAGCAAAAACACTCCACCCCAGGAGCCGGAGCAGGAAGATGTCAGGGGTTGAAGATGCAAACAAACACCTGGGGGAGAGGGCAAGAAGGTCTGGCCCACTTTAAAAAACAAAAAAACTATGAGGAGGTAGAGGAGCAGAAACTGAGAAAATCCCAACTCTGAAGCTCAGGAGCACAGGACCTGCTGAAGTCTGAGGTTGAGCCAGGGTAACAAACCTCACCCTGCCTCTCCATGACCCCAGCACCAAAGAACAAGTAACCTTGGTCTCCCTGCTGGGGGGGGGGTCAGGCAGCAGGGAGGGCTGAAAAGCTGAAACACGGAGACCAACCTGACACCTGGCCCCCCACTATGGGAATTGAAACCTGGGTGCACTAAAGGTAACAGAAGCAGCAACAGAACCCTAACTCTGCTGGATTCCTATGGAGATTGAATTTACCTCCCCAGACCAACAGGCTGATGGCAGGTTCACTGCCAGGCATAAATGCGATTCACCACAATCTCTCTGTTCTACACACCATGGGCACTTAGTTTAAAAAATGTTTACAAATTACACAAAAAGGCAAGGAAAAAACCCCGCAATCCATTGTCAAAAGATAAAACAGAACCCAACTCACAGATGACACAGATGTTGAACTATTGGACGGGGACTTTAAAATAATTATGATTAATTTGTTAAAAGGTTTAGTGGAAAAAGGGGAGCAACTTGCATGAACAGATGGGGAAACCAGCCGAGACATGGAAACTGAGAAAGTCAGATGAAAATGTACAAATAAAAAAACAGCAGACATAAATTGTAC